TTTAAATAAGTGTATTATACTTAAGACAAAAAAGTTTACTTCAAAGCTTTATCTTAAATAGAAAAAATTCCTTAGGGATTTAATCAAGATCAAAACACAAAATTATCATTCATGTGAAAAAGCCCTTTAAAGTTTGTCTGCTGAGCAAGATTCTGTATTAGGACAATCTAAAATCATTCATAACTTTTTCAAAAATGTAGATAGAGACATGATTTTTTCCCAGTGCATTTGAAATAGTTTGAGGTTTTATTATAAGCAATAAAAAAAAAATTGGTATTTTTGTCATTTTTTGGGTACTGTGACCCCTTAATGCAATTTAGTGTGAAACCAATTTCAAGGGGATCTCGATTTCCAAAAAATTATTCATAATTCGAAAATTGTTGACCCTAAAGTGATCTATATTTAGGTAGAGGGGTTAGCATATTTTGGAAAAACGGTGATTTTTTTAAAATTCTCGATAAACATTTATCGACATATATGGGAATTTTTGAAAATATAACGTCCGTATTAAAGTGTGAAACAAGTTTCAAATGAATCATGCTTCCTGAAAACTAGTAAAAAAATCGCAAAATCTCCACTCAAATGTTACTTATATGTTGACTATTTGTAGGCGTTAGAGTTAGCGAGTTTTGGACAAAAGAAGGAATTATTTTAAAGTTTCCAATGAACATTTATAGACATAAATGGGTATTTTCGGAAAATATGACACCCGCATTTAATTGAAAAAGTTTCAATTAATCTCGTTTTTCAAAAAAGTATACAAAAATCAGTGCCCACCTTACTATGAGCTATGTGTAGACACTGGATTTAGCATGTTTTTTAATGTTTCCTAGAAATTTTAAAGATTTGAATGGGAATTTTCAAATAATATAATGTCCATATTTAAGTGTGAAACCTGCATCAAAGTGATTTCGATTCTTAAAAAATTTTAAAAAATTCGCAAAATGCCTACCCTAATGTAAGCTATAAGTAATAAGCAGAATGAAGATGATTGATTCATTCATATTTTAATGTGAAACAAATTTCAAATGAATCTTGTTTGCAAAAAAATTATAAATGTTTGAACTGGAATTACGTTCTTTGGATCAAAGAGTAAATATTTCAAACTTTCCCATAAACATTAATAGACATAAATGGATATTTTTGGAAAATATAATGCCCATATTTAAGTGTGAAACCAGTTGGAAATACATCTCGCTTCCTAAAAAGTTAGAAATTTTTAATAAAACTTTAATTCGAAATTTTAGAACTGTGTAATGGCCTTGACACATTTTGCAATAATTTTGGTAAAAGTGGTTCATATAGCAGGTCACATCTTTAAAGCAATTAATACCTTACAAATAACCGTTCTAAAAGAACTTTTTTAGCGTTTTCAAAAATTACATATATATATATATGACAAAATTTATATAAGTATTTAATCCTTAGCTTTCCATAGATGGCAGCACTACAAAATTTAAAAATTAAAAAGTTTTGTCTCTTAGTTTACTATTGATAATCAGTTTATCATTTGTTCACTGAAATCAGGTTTTTAAACACATAATTCAAAAGAAAGAATTATCTTAAATCGTAAGACCTCCATTGATATATTTTCTCATTTAATGAATGGATTATTGTGAATTCATGGCTAATTTAATTATTTATCAGAACCTCTGTGGCGCCATCTTGTAACATCTTTGATAGTTGATTTATTTTTCAATAAAATGTTTTATAATTGTAGAAGGGATTGCTTTATAACTGGTTTAAAGTAAAGTAAACTTCAGTTTCATTTATGAATAAGAGAAAATACGGAGCATAGCTCCCGATAAATTGCACAACAGACTGAATTTCGATGTGTCAAATAGACCTCAAAAAATGTTAATAAATAAGACTTAATTAAATTTATAATTACATGATAAATATTTAATTAATTTATAATTTAATAGTAGATATAATAAAGTTAAAGGCAATTAAATAATTAATAAAACCAAAAATAATAATAAAACTGGAGTTTTAATTCAATTTTACAAATAATATAAATTATAATAATGAATATCCTTTGCCTCGAAATGTTAATGTAGAAGTAAAAGGGTTAACAAGTTTTTTTTTTAAAGTTTAAAATTTGAAATAGTAAGTGAGTGATGATTTATTTTCTGCAATAGAAAACAACTAGTTGTGTACTTAGAATGTGATTTCTGGAATACTGTTCAACTGATTTCGTTCAAATTTTGTATTTTATCATTTAAAATTATATACTTTAAAATGATGTAAAAATTTGTATACCTTAGAATCTAAAACTTTTTTGGCTGTTATTAAATAAAAAATAAAAAAAACTATTAAAACTAATTTTCTACTTCTTAAGAAAAACGAATTTTTTAATTGTGTGTAAATATATATGTTACGGGCAATGTAATTATTTAGGTCAGTATTCATAATGCTTAGTTATTATGAATAATGACCATTGAAATTGGGCAATTTGATAAATTTGAATAACTTTACGATAATTTCTCACATTGCCCGGTCATTATAAATACCACTATTATTTCTTTGGGCACTTTGATTAATTGACAGCAATGGGACAACCACGTGCGTGTGGTGTGATTCTGGCTGGCCAATGTTCACCGGTGAATGTTGACAATCAAATTAGTCGCTTTGGTGAATGTCCGAAATATTTATTACATCCAATTTGATACTAATTTATTCGTGGATATAATTACATTTATTCGATATTTTAATACTTACTGACGATAGATTAGAACAAACATCAGTGTTTGGAGTATCGGGCAAATATATACCGGGCAATGGCACTTGACTTTAAAAAAATATCCGTGTAGGGTATACCGGGCAGTGGCACTTGACCTTAAAAAAACATCAGTGTAGGGTATACCGGGCAAATGTATACCGGGCATTGGCACTTGACCTTAAAAAAACATCAGTGTGGGATATACCGAGCAAATGTACACCAGGCAGTAGCACTTAACTAGACCTAGTGTGACTAGACCTTTGTTAAATGTCCTAAATATATACTAGGTCTAGTGCCACTGCCCGGTATACATTTGCCCGGTATATCCCACACTGATGTTTTTTTTAAGGTCAAGTGTCATTGCCCGGTATATATTTGCCCGATGCTCCCAACACTGATGTTTCTTCTAATCTATCGTTAGTAAGTATTAAAATATAGAATAAATGTAATTATATCCACGAATAAATTAATATCAAATCGGATGACGTTTTGAATTTGTCATTTTTGAATGACATTTTGACGAATTTATACTGATGTATTTTATACTATTGATGTATTTTATACTTTGCCGGTAACATATATACTATATATATATATATACATAATAAAAATGTTGTAACTCATCCGCAGCCAGCAACACCACTAACTTTTTATTAAAGGTTTGTTGGCTCTCGTTATACAGCAACGTGATATACAGCAACGTTATACAGCAACGTCTCGTATACAACACAGCCAACGGCAAAAGCTGTTGGCTGTGTTGTTAGTGGCTGGACCCTACACTATCAACTTAAACTAGAGAGCAATAAATTTACTTAAAATATAACACTAAAAAGTTTAATCCGAAGTCACACAGAAAAAGTGATTCTATCTAGGTCTAACAACACAAATTCCATAGCAACAGCAGCCATTCTTCCAAATTCTTTATTTGAAAATGGTGCGTCATAAATGAATAAAAATGCAGATTGCGGTTTAGGCATTACGGACACTCTAACCTCCAGGAGTGTTATGTTGTTTTATTTTTTGATGTTATATTTTAAATAATTATTAGGTTTTCCTGTTTTAGTTGATAGTGTTGGCTACAGTCAATAGTAACAAGGACTACATCTTTTGCTGTTAGCCACGTTGCTATAATGAAACCCAACATATCTTCCTTCAAAATGTATGTGGTGTTGCTGGCTGCTGATGAATTAAAATTCTTTTTATGGTTGTTTTATATTTATTTATTATTTTATTATTTATGTCATATTTTATGATATTTTTGTTCTAATTTCATCGGCATCCTTTGCGCGTGTTTATTAGAGCAGACTAACCTTAGCTAAACTTTTTGAAATATATTTAATAACATATATTTTATAATTATAGGAAATATATTTAAATGTTAAAACTGATCAACCTAAAATAATCTTAATAATGCCTAAAGCTAAATTGAAGTTAAAATGAATTTCCAATGAAACATTTAACTCGTCTTATGAAAAAATTCTAACATTTTTTTAAAATAATTTTTCCTGTTTGAGGTCACTCACATTGGGTTTCACTTACTATCAACTGTTCTATGAAATTTTTCTAAAAAAGAAAAGACTGATAACTTAATAAATCCACTCATAAAATTTAACTTGGAGAAATAAAATTGTCTAGTTTACCACAATACGTATATTGGTAATATTAGCATTTTTATTTTGATCTGATATTGTACAGTAATGATAATATTTTGAATCTAAAATGTGACTAGCTCTTAAAAAATATCCGATTCATGTAATCATAATAATTAATCATTTTTTCATCAGAAGTACATTTTGCATCAAAACAAAATGCAAGTGATTAGACTTATTCGTCNTATTTTATATTTATTTATTATTTTATTATTTATGTCATATTTTATGATATTTTTGTTCTAATTTCATCGGCATCCTTTGCGTGTGTTTATTAGAGCAGAATAGCCTTAGCTAAACTTTTTGAAATATATTTAATAACTTATATTTTATAATTATAGGAAATATATTTAAATGTTAAAACTGATCAACCTAAAATTATCTTAATAATGCCTAAAGTTAAACTGAAGTTAAAATGAATTTTCAATGAAACATTTAACTCGTCTTATGAAAAAATTCTAACGTTTTTTTTAAATAATTTTTCCTATTTGAGGTCACTCACATTGGGTTTCACTTACTATCAACTGTTCCATGAAATTTTTCTAAAAAAGAAAAGACTGATAACTTAATAAAACCACTCATAAAATTTGACTTGGAGAAATAAAATTGTCTAGTTTACCATAATACGCATATTGGTAATATTAGCATCTTTATTTTGATCTGATATTGTACAGTAATGATAATATTTTGAATCTAAAATGTGACTAGCTCTTAAAAAATATCCGATTCATGTAATCATAATAATTAATCATTTTTTCATCAGAAGTACTTTTTGCATCAAAACAAAATGCAAGTGATTAGACTTATTCGTCACAAAAGACAATGGCTTAGCAGTGAGCCATACTCCTCGCAAAAAATATGTAACTATCTTGATCTATCTCGGAAATTTAGCTGGATAGAATAAGCAGAACGTTTGATCTGATGGCGCAACGGCCTGTTCTATGTTCAAAATTAAAAATTGAATATTTTAAACTAAAACATTGACAGTTGCAGAACTTGAATCTGTCCCTATATAATTTTGAGCTTTGCAAATATATGTCCCTGCATTATCTTCAGAGAGGCTGCGGAATAATAACCAACTAGTAGTTTCATCAGCATTTGGCCCGTTTCGAGATTGTATAGATGTATCAGTCCTGTTACCTGAAAAAAATATAGTTAAATCAACAGTAGGCATATAAAAAGAATAAAATAATCCCATTGGAACATAGGGTCGCAGACGCTGCTCGAAAACACTGGAAAATATTTCTGTAAAAAAACAAGGATCAATACCATGACCACTGTGACCACCAGGTGTGTCTCCCATAGATTTTATAATTTTTCTCAAAGGACTCATCAATAAAAATGCTAGAGGGGCAACAAAAATTCTAGAGGGGATGGTCAATTGTATGTAGAAAAACGGGCGCAAAGAATGTTATTCTAGATCATTTTAAATTTACTTGTATTACCACATATGCTACCCATTTACAACTCAAAGTTTAGACCACCTGCCTGGACGCACGCATTGCATCGATGCTGCATGGAATAGTACACCTTTTCAAACATACCGGATGTATACCTAATGCATAAAAACAATCCTTACTTCTATTCAATGTGAAGAAAGATTCTGAGAGCTCTGATTGGATCTTTCGAAAACGTCATCCGCGACGTTTTTCGATTTCTTTATACTACGTACAAAAGTTGGACAAAATCAATAAAACACTTCTATACTAGCTCTATATTAGCATTATTTCTTTAAGCAGCAAATATTTGAGATCAATGATCATGCTTGAAACTTTTAGAAAAGGAGTGATTTTAATGCATGCAAAGTTCGGAACGAACTAAAATGAGCGTTGGAAATTAAAAACTTCTTTCTAGCTTTAATACCAGAAGTTTTGAAATCATTCTATGAGATTGCAATGTTTATAGAACAATGCTTTTTGAATTATAGCGGTATTCAAAAGATAAAAGGGTTTTAATTACCTTCACTCATTTTGGTCGATCCGAATTTTGCATGGCTAAAAGGACACCATTTCTAAAAAGTTTTCAAAATGATTGCGTAAAAGAAATATTTTTTCCTAAAGTGTTTCCATACTTTTGTTCAACTCCTGTGTATGTAACTAATGATCTTACCAGCCATTATTTTGAAAATCAGACAAAAATCTGAAATTTTGATAGTTGCATTTTATAATTGGCTTAGCTTTTTTATATTGAAGTAGTTAATAAAAATTAATATCATGCAAGTTTGAACTCCTAAAATTTTCTTCTTTCTTTGTAGAAAGTTTAAAAGTCCAAGGTAATTTCTTTAAAAATGAAATAGAAGTATGTTTGATGGGGCTTATCACCTGGGGTCAATCATATGTTCATCAAGGGGTTAATCATAAGTTTAGTAACGCTTGAGGGTTATGTTTAGATATTCAATGTTTTGGGGTTGATTATGTAGGGACTTAGATTTTTTTTCACATGTTTAAGGGTTAATCATATGTCTATCACGAGGTTAATCATATGTTTAGCAAGCAACAACACCCCTAAGTTTTGTTTTGGTATATTATTAGTATATCACTTAGTTTGCGCTTGTTTTCAATGTTCGTTATTGTTTTTCAGACTTATGCTCTGTCAGAGTTAGAGAAAATTTCAGTTCTTGGCGTTTTTCTGCCCTGAAAATCTTGGTTAAACAGCAGCAACCAATAATTTTTTTACTGAATATTAAACCCTTATGAAAAGTTCTGTGACCCAGCTCTTTCCTGACTTATCGATGCTTTTAGTAGATATTGGCATTAAACCTCTTCACAGCCTCAACTCCAGTTTCAGCTACAAATCTCAATTCAAACTTCAACTCCAATTTTAAAACTCCAATTCCACAAAAAACAAAATTTCAAATGCAGTAACTGTTCAACCTGCGAAAAGAATACAAGACGCGTTCCCTCATGCTGATATTTTACTCTCATCTGCAAACAAAATTTTAGGATAGTTGCATCTTTACTTTTACCTATATTATTTTCCGAGCAAAGTGCATGAACATCATCCTCATCTACAGTCAGCAAACTAAAGTTTTTGAGCAAGCTGCTTCTTATTATTTCCAATTATTTTGATTTCCTCGATCAAAGTGCTTGAACTACATATCCAGCTACCACTCGGACAGCTGACCCCACAGTGTTAAAACAAACTTGAAAACAAATTCGTGACTGTTGGAATAAGGACAGCTTCACGGCCCAGGTGCCCAGTTCCAGAGCACTGCTATATGACTCTCTGTCTTCAACGTGCTATCATTCTCTGTATTGTTCTTCTGTATCATTCTCTCTATTGTTCTGTTGTCCTTCCACTTGACGAAGGTTTAAAAGCACGCAAACCTGCTAATGTATTCTTTTACCAAAAAACCAATCTTTGCATTCACTTTTAATAGTAAACTGAAAAAAAAATGCTTTAAAAAGTTACAAATTTTAATCTCTTTTAATAAAATTTTGAGTGTTATTAAGTACCAACTTTTGCATTTTTGTAGCCTGTGGTAACCCTGGAGTTATTTTGATATATTAAATTATACGAAGTCCCTCCAACGAATCAGCAGACTCTCTTGTCTCTTGACTAGTTTTTCTATATATTTTCATCTTTGATTTCTTATTTAACACCTGATTTATTTTTTTCATGATTTTTAAATCAGATGAAGAGGTAAAAATCGCTTTTGGGGATTAAAGGCATCATACAACAACAGAGGACGGAGTCCCTGTCCTACCCATTCCTTCATCAATCAGGTAGAGTCCGTAGAGTTAAGTGGTGCGAATCGCATTTGACGAATTTCATATCGTTATAAAGATATTGAAATTAGTTACATATTATGGTATACAAGAATGATCAACTGATTCTTTGCAAAATAATTGCATAAATAATGCTTAAATGAATTGCATAAATAAATCAGATGATTTAAAAGTTCCAAAAAATTAATTCGAAAACAATAAAGGCAATATGAGTAATGAAAAAAAAAATGGAATGGACTTGCTGATTTGTGGGTTCTCTACTGTTTATTAATCCAAAATTGAGCACAACGTCAAAGATTGAACACAATATCAAAGAAAGGAACAAAATCTAACATTTGATGTTAATGAAATTCACACATCATTAGTATAGACGGCGCCAAGCACATGCCTTGCCGTCGACTCGTTGGCAGCGGAAATTTTTGAAGTTGGAATGAGGCTTTTTCGTTAAAATAACCGAAAATAATTTTAAATAACTACAAATTTCTATAAGGCGGGCGAACTGTATTGAAAAGTACTATTGTTCTTGATGGATTGGTTTAATTAACGCAAAATGGATCTGGATCGTCGGAGTTGCAGTACAACATGCCTACTTACTTCTCCAACCATGTCCACTCTCCCATATCAATGACGCATGCGTATAGTGTGTTTGCCATAAACCTATGGTTTTTACCTTTAAACATACCATAAGGTTATGGTGTCTCACCATATAATACCAAACAAATTCTATGGTTACCATAGGCTTATGGTGCCCTGCCATATGAATCCCATGCAAATTTATATGGTATAACCATAGGCGTATGGTGTCTTGCCATATAAATGCTGCACGAATTTCTATGTTTATCATAGGACTAAAGTATCTTGCCATATAAGTTTTCATGGTTGTCGTAGATTACCATAGAAGTTCCTAAGACAAATTTTCCTAAGGGATTAACCTGTAGTGATGTGGTGAATAACTTTAAATCAAATTTATTAAATAAAGATTCATTCAATAAAATACAAACTTTGCACCCACTTGAAAACACTTTCTCACGAAGCATAGAAAGTTGGCATCTTTGAATTTGTTTAGTATCTTGAAAATTTAAAAAGTGGCAGCAAAAATAAATAATGATTAAACCAATTCCAGCAAGTTTGCAATTACCACATTGTTAAAAGAAACTCCAAGTTTTGAAACATTGAATTTCAGGGTTTGAGAATTTAATCTGAAAGTGAAACCTAATAATTTAATTTGTTAATACTAATAAAAATGATACTATACATTTTATTTTTAGAGCAGCTTGCAAACTAAGATGACTTCTTTTGGGATCTGACCTCATTTTAGATTTTGATTGTTTTTTGACGTTTTGTATTGTTTTCTAAAATTTTATGGAACTGTATATATTTTTCAAATGAAACAAAAAGTTTCTATGGAGGAGTGTTTTTTAAATAATTTTCTGGTTGACTTAAATTTTTTAAAAAATTAATATAGAAAATATTATTTAAACACTACTATTTGGTGAATAATGGGTTAATAGTTAAGCAATTGTAATACCTGGAAATTGAATGCGCCTTCCATTTTGCTGCAAAATCCAATGGATATCAGGTATTGGCCAACCATTTGCTTCACACGTCAGTACAACAGAACTTCCTGTTACATTTAGAATATTTTGAAGAGGGGTCCTTATTCTTGGTGCTAAGAAAACATGAATCATTTTGTTATAAGCTCCATAGTTTAAGACGTAAAGTTATAACAAATCGATGAATTTAATAAATGTTTGTATTTTCTAGACGGCACATACAGACTAAAACTTGCTATTGGTCAGACTGCAATGTGTTGACAGAAGGGCCATTACTGAACCGGTCCTATTTTTTCCAATGGTCCAATTTCTTTTTATTGGTCTCATTTTTGTACCATCCTCCCGAAATTGGAAAATTGCTTCATGACTTAAGAATATTCATTAAAGGTCAAAACTCTAATTCACATTTTTCATAAAAGATAAAAACTGGTAATATTTCATTTCTTTAGGTTACTATTCGTAAAACAAAGACATTTGTGTATACCAAAATAAATAAATATAAGTATTTATATTTTAATCTGTAACTATGCTTTTGCAACAATTTTTATAAGTAAAATAATAGTCACATTGGAAATTATCAACTCAAGTGCTCATTACCTACTACTTTTTCAAAAAAGGAACTTTTTTACAAAGCTTCAACAAGTTGCGCAAAAGCAACGTTAGTGTGGAATGGGTTAAATTAGGTTCGTCAACTCCAACGCTTTCTGAAAATATTTTTTCCAGTGGTAAAACAATTTATGTTGATTCTTGTGTTAATAAATTTCATTTAAAGTTATTTTGCTTATAACTAAATTTAGATAATTCAAATATTCATATTACAACTTAGTTTGAATTATTCTGTAGCTAGCCTTTCAAAGTATTGGCAAAATTAGACAAATTTCGTTTTTATTTCTGTATCAATGTAATAAAATCTTTCTCCAAAAATGAAGCATCTTCGATAAAACCAGAAATACTAACTGCTTTGGATTCTTCAAAATACTTTAAGAAACTTTAACTAAATTGTGCTTATTTTCAGTTAATTTTGCTAAATTTTCAAACGGATCAACAAAAAATAACTCTAACAAAGTGGCATTTCATATAAGTCTTTCAATTTTTTCGAAGTAGTGATGGGCATAAATCATATAAATTGAATATACCAAACCAGGAATCATACATTAAAACATACATTTCGCTACCACTAGAAATACTTATCCGCAATCCGTAACAATTTGGCATCTCTGTAAAACGCTAATCACAATAAAATACTTACTTTTGATACAAGGCTCTGAAGCAATGGCTCTTAAGCCATTTCTTTTTGAATAACGTGCTTCTGTAAATTGACATATGTTTTCATATGTTATTCCATCACTTCCACAAATTGGAATATGTTGTTTACAAACACACACAGCTTCTGGTGGATCATCCCAACTTAGATCATTCCTCACTTGACATTCTAAATTGTCACCACAGCGCCCAGCTCCTTCAGATGGAAGATCTCTATGATCACACCTGTCACCTTCTTTTACTCCACAATGATAACAACAATCACATGCGTCTTTAACCAAACCTGCTTTACAATTTCTTGGAGGATCGCAGGAGGATGATACACATTCTTGACAACCGTTATCTTCAGCTGAAGCTGTGGAAAACAGCAAGTAAACTAAAAATAACCAATAATTTCGAAAATACATATTGACAACTAAAAATGAAAAAGGAGAAAAACAGATGAACAACTAATTTATCCGATATAGCGTAGTTGTATATGTTTCATAGTTTATCTGTAAATCTAATCTAGTGATTGGATTTAATTTGTTTAGAATGTTCTTGACCGATTTCCGTGTTTCGAAGCCCTTTCTTAGATCCCTAAGAGATAAGAACCAAAACACAAATTGGCTATTGCAAAAGCTTATTAATATTTAACGGCTCAAATAATTTTCCAAAAATATTATTAAATTTATTAATTAAAAACTGGGCTGTTATTTTCAATTTAAAATGCAGTATTATCACAAATGAAGGACTATATTTTAAACAGTTGCATTTCCAGAACTATTATGAATATTACAATAAAAAGTTCACAAAAATAAAGAAAAATAAGTAAGTTTTCTTTAGTTGCAAATGTTCGATGTATAACCTGCTTGTTACTAATCCAGTACAATCTTAAATTAAATATTATAAGTTTTAACTATATGCATTAAAAATTAAAAAGCTTACTCAAACTCATGTTCTGATTAAAATATCTTCTTCTCCTTTGATGTTTGAGCTGGGCACCGGGGCCGCTCAGCGGACCCTATCCCATCCATCATAAAGTTAAAATAGTTATAGTAGGAATTTATTAGGTCAGTAGTCTATGTAGTGGCTGTTAGCAAATTAAAATATAGTTTGAATAATGTAAATTGACTAACCTAAATGCATAATTTTCTGGTACAAATGTCGAATGCATATTTTCTGCTTGAAATTAAAAGTGAAGAAAAAACTTTCAAAAACGTGTACTCAAAATAATATAATATAACAGCGCTAGAAACTAAGACAGATGTCGAATTAAAAGAAAAACAAAAAATCGATAAAATATTTCATCGCATTGGTCTCATTAGGATATAGTTTCTGAGGACTTATACTTTGGTATTATGTGTCGTATAGTTCAATGAATATCTCGGCAGGGGTTTACCATTAGTATGTAAATACGGGTTTTATGACCCCGAGACACCGTAGTGATTTTTCTTTTTCATTTGTTTCTTTTATTCATAAAACAGACTTAATAACGCAGTTTGATCGCGTTATATTGAATAAATAACAACGTTTGACTTTGGCGTAGTATAGCCACTTCCGATTCTTATGTCATTAGACAGCTTTAGGCTAAATTGATCTAATACAAGGTAGGTATAAATGCAAAAAATAAAAAAAATAATTAAACAAACCATACATTATTTGTACAAGTTCTTGTTGACATACAACTTTTTAAAAAAGGAATAAAAATAATTTTGGTGTTTAAATGAATCCACGATTTTAGTGTTAACTGTAATTAGAGTATTCTTCATGTATGTATTATCGTTTTATTAGGGTTGAGGTTTACTACATTGCTATTCTGTTACTAATTTTACTATATTTTTTTTAGACTACATTAGTTTGAAATGAAGCGCATTAGTTTTTTTAGTCATGGGATAGATTATATGACTTAAAACAGTCCATAGAGGAACATTTTTTTAGCAAAGACCCCACAGATTTTAAAAAATTAAGAATATGGTAAAAAAAAGTTTAAACTAATTTAGCTTTTATCAGTTTCTTAAAATTTGGGAAGTGATTCATGGGATACGCCCTCTATTTGTTCCTTTTATTTTAATGAAAGCATTAAGGGTGCGGTGCCCCATGTGTTTGAAGTCCATTGGTCGCCTAGCGACGGGGACAACGGACGTGATTATCTTGGGAATAATGAAACTAAAGATTGCATTTTGGATCATTTAGAATCTCATTTTGCTTCAAAGTATGCCAGATGGACAATGGTCATTGAACTTTCTCAGACTTAAGAAGTTTTTACGGAATCAACTGGTGATTAAGTATAGAACTTATTATCACATTAAAAAGTTTGTTTTATTGATCTGACAAAAATATTTTGATGTGAAAATGTTTGTCGTGTCCAATGATTTTTAGACTATAGTGATTTCGAATGGTTTTCAAGCTTAATAATGCATATAAGTTGGAAAAGATAAAAAAAAAAGATATTAACATTATGTTTTGTGTTGATAAAGAATTCAATATTTTGTTCGTTTCGAAGCTTTTAAAATATGCAACCCAATTGAATTCATTTATTTTTATTAAATCATCTTCAATACAAGTTACTTTAAAACGATATATTTTTCAGGAAGATCCTCTCGAAATGTGTTTCAGATTCATTTTCTTCTTAACTTGATGGAGACATCTTTTATCAACTTATTCTTATTTAGTAATCTTCAATACAGAGGTTTTTCTAAAATCTAAAATAATATTATTTCAAACCAAGATAGTTTGAAATACACTTTCTTCTTTATGAACATAAGTTTTTGGTTAACTTCATATAAATTTTTTTAAAAAAAGACTGATAGTTAATGATAGAAGGCCACGGATCGCAACCCGACCTTTTTTTTTCAAATGGCAGCTTACGTTATCCAGTGGGCACCTGCGAACCAAAGTCACGGAGGCGAGCAACTCTACCCACGCCACACTGCCAAAAACCCGTCCATAGGGTGGGCCACATCACACACAACAGAGGACAACACAAGAGAGAAACAACCATTCCCAGAGCGGGATTCGAACCCGCAGCCATTGGCTTCGCAGTCAGGCGCGCTAACCGCTTGGCCACCTGGCCGGCACGGATCGCAACCTGGTAGATAAAATTTTTACAATGGATGTTGTGAAAGTAGTTGACATCAGAACTGAGAGAAATAAATTATTTGGCAATTTTACAGCAGAATCAAGTTCAAATAATCAAAATGGGTTGCAAAGTTCATAATGTTCTCTTGTAGCCTCTTTGTTTTGTAGCCTCTTTTTCTTCTTGTCAATCTCTTTGTTGCCACACAGCCAGCGATGCTTGACTTCGGTGTTTTACTGGAAACCATGTCTTACTATTAGTCCACTGTAGTTCCATAGTGTAATTGCGTTTTAATTGTCATTTTAGTTTATTTACATTTACTGCTTTTTAAAAATAATAAGAGTTATTATATTATGAATGAATGCGCTTATTACGTATTTAAATAATTGCATACGATTTGCCTTTTTTTTAATTAAACATCAATGGGTTTGCATGAATTAATAACAACACAGGGCTAGTAAGAAAACATAGGGGTGGAATTATAATAATAATGATAAGATACTAATAACGATCCTGTATTTAACGGCTTTTAAAACTTAACGAAGCAAATAACATTTGTTTTATACAAGGTTATAATGTAAACCTGTTTAGCGTGCAGTTTTTTTAAACTTTTTACTTGGATATAGAGATGGAAATAAATTGGAAGCGTGTCATAAGATCAAAATTGATATGAATCAATTAAAATAAAATACACGGCACACTATCAACCGTTTAAAATTGTTAAAGCTCTTTCATTGCATGATTTCTGTAGGTTTTAACCTCATTTTTCTTTTTTCTCCAGGGAGGATATCATCTCGGAAGTCGCAAAACAGCAGAAAAAAGGAAATGTTATATAGTAAATCGTAAAAGTAACTTTATTTAAAAGATACTTGTGCAAGTGCTGTAAAGTCACTAGAAAACTTTTTATTTAATATTATAGAAAATACAAATGAAGAAACTTCTTATGCATTAGTGCTTTACGACGAAAATGAAATGAAACAAAATTTTGTTAAGCTTAACAACTAATTTTAGATAAATATTTTTTCATTTGCCAATAAATATTACCTAGAAGCAATCCATGCAAACTTATTTTTATGTTTAAATTTATTATTCCAAACTTAAATTTGGATAGATAGAGCGAGAGGATTAAAGGATTTTTTAAAATTTTGAATGCTCAAGAGTTATTCAACTAATTTTTTCGTCAAAATTTTGCATTTTGCCATGTAAAATTATATTCAAGCATTTTGCCACATAATTTAAAATCAGGCAAAAATGTGAATATCTTACCGTTAAAGAAAAATTAAGTGATTTTGAGGTTGTTTTGAGGGTGACAGGTGTAAAAAAATACTCCTGAGGTAGAAAATAAGCTCATGTTTTACACCAAGAATAACAATAAACCTTAATTTCAACTTCATTTACACCTTGACAAATTAACTTCATATATAGCTCAGTAATACATTCAGTTGAAATCGGGTGACATTATTCACACCTCAAATGTATTTATTTGCTTGAAGTGTAGAAAAAATAACATGTACACCTCAAAAACAACCTCTCTAAGCTGATTGCTTTAATAAGGTAGATCTCTATCAGCCTCAAAACAACTTTAAGTATGAATAAAACAACTTCATACTCCTTGATTACTATCCTCTGGAGGTTGATTTTTTAGGGTTGCTCTTGAAGTCACCTTCAAATAAATCTCAGATCAACCTTAACACCTCAAATAAACCTGAAAAACAATTTAAATATTTGAAATATATGAAATTTTTTCGACTATTATCAAATAAAATTATAAAAATAATAAATTATTATTAAATGTTATTAGTCGCATGTAGTTATCTTTTGATAAACGAATTTCATATTTCAGTGCAAAAATTTTTCAATTTGGATCATAGGTTCTCGAGGTATGGCGAAATACCCACAAAGTTAACATAACAGGATCCAAATTTAGGAGCGCTTCCTTCACCAAAATATTGGAATCATATTTCCCAAATCCAAAACCCGATTTAGTCGATAAAAAGGTACATTTAATGAGATAAAGTTAAAATATCGTCTGAACTAACTAATTAGCATATTTAAGATCAACATATTTAAAATTAAGCCTTAGTACGAGAAAATCCGATCATTAGTCTAAAAGTTATTTAAGGTGTGCTTTTTTTCTTTTCTTTTTTTTGTGCATATTGTGGAGCAGTTTTGCCTTCGAAAAATTGCCTTCATAGAACAATTTGGTATTAGGTTTTGGGATATCAGTAATGAATTTATTTAGTTATATCTGAGTTCAAGAAAAAAAAACGAGTCAGTCAAAAATTTTGAATTAGTTAAGTTCACCCATTAAAAAACCAAGCATGTTTAAATAAAAAGTAAACAATAATGATGAACAATAATGAAAAAAATTAAAATTCATTGGTTAATAATTTCCTTTTAACCGTTAAAACGAATTAAAATCTTGCTTCACTAA